CCCAATCAGTCTCAACTCTCAAACGCAGTGTTGATGAAAGAAGCAAATATGAACTTCAATAGTGATTGATCATATACGATTTGCAGAAGTCAAGACTGTATTTTAGTGTTAATATTGTGATATGTAATTTGAAAATTATTTACAGAGGGCAAAGCTGTTTTTTTAGTGTTGTGATCTTTTTAAATCATAATTGATGTAAAAAGTAACAAATCTGTGTTGTTCAAATGTGTATCTATGAAATATTAGTAAACGGACTATGAAGAAAAGTTACTTCATGTTTACTCTTGGATTCATTATTATTTGGTAATGCCATACTTGATGCATTCAATGTCTTTGAAGTGGCCATTTCCATTTGTCACCACCCTGACCTTTGTAATTTTCAATGGGTATCGTCCCTAAACTTCATAAAATTGGATTTGGCCCCTCGTCTATGTCAATTATCAACGGATTTCGTTCCTTAGTCTAACGATTGTTGATTTTTTTTCCATTAGATTCAGTTAAACAAGGGCTATTTTAGTCATTTTAGATTTTCCTTTACTGCACCCCTCGACCCACACTTGCAACCCCATCACAATTTCGGCCAACCCCTTTCCCCAACTCTTTTTTAATATATTATATCTTTTCCTATTAAAAATATTATATAGATATGCTTTTAGTTTTCAAAAAAAAAATTAAGAAAATAGATAAAATGACCCAAATACTCTTCATTTAGCTGGATTTAATGAAAAATGTTAACGACCATTAGACTGAGGGACCAAAACCATTAGCAATTGACAAACGTAAGGGACCAAATCCAGGTTTATGAAAACGTTAAGGACCAAAATTAAACTTTACTCTAATAGACGTTAAGTTACTTACGATGGGGACTATTATAATTGTGGACGGTTTGGTCATTTAGCTAGAGATTGTAATCGCGGGTGTAGAGACGTCAATGGTGGTGGAGGTGGATGTTATACCTGTAGTGAGCCAGGACATTTGGCAAGGGATTATACTTCAGGCAGTGGTGTTAGTTATACGTCAGGCGGTGGAGATGGTAGTTGCTACCATTGTGGAGAACCGTGGCACTTTGCTAGAGAATGCACTACCAATTCTTGATACATCAACTGACTATAAATATATTATTGTGGCTGGTCAGCTTATTTAAACAAATTAGGTTTTTGACTTCCTCTATTATAATGATCATACATCGGTTCTTGTTGATATCATGTGCCCGTAATCACAAACAACTTACGACATTCAATGAGAATAAAAATAAAACAAATTGTTTGATATTATACAATATAATGGCTCATTTCCCCATAAGACAAATTTTCATTTCAGATTAAACTGGGGGGTGG